TGATTATTATAATCTCTCAAACCTTCCGAATTAATTTACTCTTTGTCCACCAAGATATGAGATAGAATAGAGGTGATAAGAAATCTTGAAAATAGCATTGAATGAATCTTTTGGTCAAGGAATTCTCTAACAGAGTCAAACAGCATTTATTAAATATAAATAGAGATTTGTGTATGAGGTCAGCAGGAAGATTCATTCATTCACCATATATTTACTGAGTGCCTACTACCAGTGTCTGGTAACAGTGGATAATCATCTGTTTTTATTTATTATTATCATTCTAATCTGAGATTGATTTAGCATATATAAATACTACATAGCAAGAAAGAGTCTCATAGACAAATACATAACCATCTCCTCACCTTAAAACTTTTCAAAGTAAGTAAAAGTTCTTCAGTTTGGCATTTAAGGCCCTCTAAATTCTTGCTCCGTCCTTTTTCTTTTCTTTCTCCATATGTCTCCTTAGCAGTATTGTCCAATAGAAATATATGCAAGCCACATATGCAATTTTATTTCTTCTTATAGTCTTATTTGAAAAGTGAAAGGTAACAAGTGAATTAGTTTAAATAATGTATTTTATTTACTACATATATCCAAAATATTATCATGCTAACATATAACCAATATTTTAAAACTACTAGAGATATTTTATATTTTTTTGTACTAAAACTTCAGAATTTTGCATATAGATTATACTTATAGCTCATTTCAATTCAGGCTAGCTACGTTGCAAGTTCTGAAAAGCCACATTTGCTTACTGTGTGGGACGGCTGAGGTAATCTCTACCCAGATTATCCTGTTTTATGCATATGACCTGTATTGTCTCTTTTCCTTTATGCCTGGGTACCATGCAGATTTTTCCCACTTAGATAGCAGTGAAATGGAGAAAAGTCTCCATCTAGCAGATATATTCTGTTGTGGCTGCTTGTATATTTATCTCCTCCTCCCTACACCCAACCATAAGGGACCATCTCATGATTTTACTCTCCTCAGTGTCTTTAATACTTTAACGTGATCACAGTGATAACAAACATTTCCCCGAGGGCTTGCCATGTGCTAAGCACTATGCGATCTACGTTACGCACATTAACTCATTTTCTCATGTTAATTCTCATAACATCCTTGTGAGGTACTTTTACTACTGCCATTTTGCTGATGGGGAAACCTAAGCTTAGAAAGGTTATGGAGCCTGCTCAGGATCAGACAACTGTAGGGCCTAGAATTGAAAGAATGCAACCTGACTCCAGACTTTCACTCTTTTATTTTCAAATTGGGAAACATAATACATATGTGGAAAAATGGATAAATAATAAAAATAAATATATAGTCTAAATAATTATTATAAAGCCCACAACAGTGCAACCACTACCCATATCAAGAAACAGAAGATTTGGGGATGCCCAGTTGGTTGTGCCCAACTCCTGATTTTGGCTCAGGTCATGATCTCAGGGTTGTGAAATCGAGCCCTAATATTTAAGATTTTAAATATCACCTCTGCCCTAGGTGTGGATCCTGCTTAAGAGTCTCTCTCTCCCTCTCCCTGTGGCTCCCCACCCCCCATCTCTAAAATAAAAAAAAAAAATAATAAAAGAAACAGAAGATTTTGTAGAATTCCAACCCATTGCTTCTTCCCAGTCTCAATCCCTCTCTATAAAGTTCCTTCTGTCTTAGAGGTAGCCATTAACCTATTTCCTTGCTCTTCTTTACAGTTTTAACACCTAGTATGCTTTCTCTTTCTTTTTTTTTAAGATTTATTTACTCATTTGAGAGAGAGAGAGAGAGTGCGTGCCCAAGTTGGGGGAAGGGCAGAGAGAGAGAGACGCAGACTCCCCGCTGAGTGTAGGGCCCAAAAGGAACCTGAGATCATGAGCCCAGTGGAAACCAAGAGTTTGGATGTTCAACTACTGAGCCACTCAGGCGCCCCTTAAGTATGCATTCTTTAGTCATATTTTTGAACTTTATAAAAATGGAATAATAAAGTGTATATTCTATTGTGAGTGGTTTCTTTTTCTTAACGTTATGTATATATATATTTATTTTTGAAGGATTTATTTCTAAGTAATCTCTACATCCAACTTGGGGCTGGAACTCACAACCCTGAGATCAAGAGTCACATGCTCTACCAACTAAGCCAGCCAGGCATCCCTTAACATTACATTTTTAAGATTCATAAATATCATTGTGTATAGTTTGTTCATTTTTCTGTTATATTATATTCCATTAATACAACTATGCCACAGTTTATCCATAATTTATCCATTATGTTATTGATAGAGGACATTAGATCATTTATCATTTTTAGCTATAATAATAGTACTGCTATTAACATTCTTTGACATGCATCCCAGTGCCCATGAGCATACCTTTCTTAAGAGTATATACCTGGAAATGGCATGCTGGCTCACATATGGGCCTATGTTCAACTTTAGTAGATAGGGCCAGATGATTTTTCCAAACTGGTCTATTAATTTACTCTCCCCCTAGTGAAGTGAAAATTCCCATTGCTCCACTCCTAGTCAACAGTTGTCATTTTCAGTCTTTTTCATTTTAGCCATTCTGGTGGGTGGTGTAGTATTCTCTTAATGTGGTTTCAATTTCCCTGTTTTCATAAAAAAAGTTGACACTTTTTCACTGATTATTTGGATTTATTTAGTGACGTGCCTGTTCAAATCTTTTTCTTATGACTGTAGTTCTTTATATATTCCGGATACAAGACTTTTCTTGGTTATATGTGCTATACATTTTCTTTTCAGTTCTTTTCTTTCTTTTCTTTCAGTTCTATTGAGCTATAATTGACATTCAGCTCTGTATAAGTTTAAGATGTATAGTATAATGCTGTAAGTTCATTAGACTCTGAGGCTTACTTTTTAACTCTTTAATGGTGTCATTTGATGAAACTGAATCTTAAATATTAATGTAGTCAAACTGATCAGTTTTTCTATTATAGTTATTATTTTTTGGATTAGTTTAAAAAGTCTGTCCCTTACTCTTTTTCTTTTTTAAGGCAAATTCTACCCCCAACATGGGGCTCAAACTCACAACCCCAGGATCAAGAGTCTCATGCTCTACTGACTAAGCCAGCCAGGCAGTCCAAGCCTGTCCCCTATTCTCGAGGTCATGGATATATGCTTTTATTTTATCTTCTAAAAGATATTTTTAATTTTTTATTTATTATTATATTTTATATTATGTATTATTATATATACATTATATATTATATATACATTATATATTATTTATTTTATATTTATTAATTTTTATTTTTTTGCCATTCAAATTTATGTGTATTATTCACCTGGAATTGATTTTTGTGTGTAAAGGGCCAATTTCATTTTTTTTCTTCCAAATGGGAATCTATTTGTCTTAGAACCAATTATGGAAAACCATTTCTTAGGCATTGCTGTGCAACACCACCATGACAATATAAATTCCCATGTATGGGTGAGACTTCTGGGCTCTTTATTCTGTTCCATTGGTATATTTGTCTATTCTTGATCCAATACCACACTGCCTTAATTACTATGGCTTTATAATAGAACTTGCTATCTGGTAGCACAAGTCTTCCTCTTCCTCCTCTTCCTTTTATTTTTTTCTCTTCCTCATGAATGCTTGTCTTTGCTCTTCCATAACATGTCTAATTGGCTTAAGTTTCACACACACACACACACACACACACACACACATACCCTATTGAGATTTTATCTGGAATTGCATTGTATCTACAAATTTGGGGAGACTCCTTGACATCATTCAGTATTGAAACTTCTGTGAACATATTATCTTTCTTTTTATTTTTAAAAAATTTTATTTATTTATTTGACAGAGAGAGAGAAAGCACAAGTAAGGGGAGCAGCAGACAGGGGCAGAGAGAGAAGCAAGCTCCTTGCTGCTCAGGGAGCCCGATGCAGGGCTCAATCCCACGACCTTGAGATCATGACATGACCCAAGCTGAAGGCAACACTTAACTGACTGAGCCACCCAGGTGCTCCAAACATATTATCTCTTGTTTAAGTGTTCTTTAGTGTTTGTTTTTTTTAATTTCTTTTTTAAGTAAGTTCTATGACCAGCATGGGGCTTGAACTCATGACCCTGAGATCAAGCGTTGCATGCTCTAGCCAGACAGGCACTTCTTCTTCAAGGACTTTTGGGGCTAGGGAAGACGGTGAGGGAGAGAGAGAATCTCAAGCGGACCCATGCCCCATGGGGCTCAACTGCAGGACCCAGAGATCACCTCCCGAGCTGAAATCAAGAGTTGGACGCTCAATGGCAGGAGCCATCCAGTCACCCCTCTTCAATGTTTTTAAAAAAATATTTTCTTCATGTAGGTGTTGCCCGTCTTTGATTTATTCCTAGGTACTCGGTATTTAATTTGAAGCTATTATAAGTGGTATCTTAATATTAATTCTCTTTATCCCTGGAATGTAGAAATACATACTTTTTTTTTAAATGCGACTTTTAAATTAACCTGTTTAATTTTATTAATTGTAACAATTTATCTGTAGATTCTTTTGGATTTGCCACATACATAATAAGGACATCATCAGTGAAAAATAACAATTTGTTTCTCCTCATTTAATCGTTAGTCCTTTTATTTTTCTTGCCTTACTCCACTGACTAAGGGCATTCAGGGGCAATAACGTATATTCTTGCATGCAGCGTACTTTGAATCATTAAGTCCTTTTCCCTCCAGCTCACAGCCTTGGAATTATTAGTCGCCTGCTGGAGGGTCAGGAGTAAGACGTCCACACTCTCCTTTCAGCTACTGCAGGGAGTTAAGACAGAGCGTCTGCCTCCCTTAAGCTCATTTTCCAATCCAGGAGAAGCCGGCAGCTTCCTCTGGTTGCCGCGCAACGGCGTCGTCCTGCTCCAGGAGTAGGATCAGCCCGGCTGAGAAGCACGTGCCGCCTCTTCCGCATTCCCGGACTACATCCCCCATAATGCCGCGCGCCGCGATCGGCTGGTCTCCGAAGTGGGGGAAGGGCCAGGACGGGCCGGGAGGCGGAGCGGAAGCGGACTGCGAGGGACGAGAAGAGTAGAATATCCACGAGCTGGGAACCACCTCGTCCGTGATTCTCAATCTTGGCCTTTCTCCATCCCGACCTGGAGGCTGGGTCGCGAGCGCAGGACGCAACTGACGCCTGCTAATCGACTTTCGTTGCGCGCCCCAGCTCGGGAGCCCGTTGGCGGCGGCGACAGTGACAAGAAGCCCACAGGCAAGGTAATGGGGAGGGGGCGAGAGCGAAGCGGGGGGTGGAGGCGACTCCGCCCGCCCGCCCCGCGCCTCTCGGGTATTCCCCTCAGGCCCGGCGGCCGCCCTTCCTCCGCCGTGTCCCGCTCGTGCTCCCCGCCCCACCCGGGCCGCTGCCCCCAGGTGTCCGCAGAGAACCGGCTCGGGATCTGCCCGTAGCCCGCGGCCGAGGAGGCTCTTTGTCCCTGCCCCTCCGGGTCTGACCGCCGTGGCCCCGTGGGCCCCGGGCGGAAAACCGAGCGAGACTTGGACTGCTTGATCCGAGCGGGGCGGGCTCGGTCCCGTGGCCACTGGCGCCGGGGAGCGACCGACCTGGTGCAGGGATGGAGGAGCACCCGCGCGGCAGCCGCGTTCACTTCTTTTTCTGCTTTTGACAGCTCAGCTCTGTTCTACTTTGAGGGAGAAAGTCAAATGGCCCCTTTTTTACCCCCTCTTCAAACTCAGCTCTTGGGTGACTGGTAAGGATGAACTTAAACTGCTGTGTCGACTGTGACTTACTTGAAATCGGTACTAAGAGTGGCTCAGGCAGCCTGGGTGCCCATCCTGATCGAGGCACTGCCTGGCTTTATGACCTTGGTTAATTAAAGGTTCTAAGCCTGAGTTTCCTCATCAATCAAATGGAGATAACAGTACACACCTTTAAGTTGTTGGAATAAAAAATAATGTGCTTACAGTGCCATTAATTCCTTTGATGAGAAAAATCCTTTGAATATGATACTTTTATTATACTGAAGTGGCCTCTGGATTTATGAGTTTTGTGCTTTTCTTTGTTTAATGATTAGCACCCTAGTTTGTGTGTTCTTCACTTAATACCTTGTTCACCTTAAACCTTAGAAAGGAATTCCTTTAAAGTATGCTGTCTTCTTAATTTCCACTGTTTTAAGATGGCTGAGAATGTTCTTAGGAAATTGATGACTCTGCCTTTCTGTGGATCAGCTCTGGAGATACAAGGACTTATTCTCACTGCCCCCCCCCCCCCCCAGCTGTGTCCTTTGGGAGAATCCTTAGAGGAGCTTAAATGTTTGTTTTGGCAGAGTAAGCATCTAGGTGTTCTGCAATCCTGACGTGGGGCTTCACTATCTACCTTATGTCAACTTTTTTCCACTGCTCTCTACAGTTTCTCACTGGTTAATAATTTTACCCCTTTGGGATTTTTGTTTGCCAATGGTAGTTTTGTTCCCAGAGCAAATTGAATGAATGCAATAAAATTTATAAGGAGTGATTTGAAACATTTCACATTAGTTCCTCTATAGTTTTGGTTCTTGCACTGTTCTCTCCTGGTTTTTACTGACATTGGTGATGAGTTTTTCTTTTTTTAAAGATTTTATTTATTTGAGAGAGAGAGAGAATGGGGGGGTCAGAGGGGGAAGCAGACTCCCTGCTGAGCAGGGAGACTGATGCAGGACTCGATCCCAGGACTCCAGGATCATGACCTGAGCCGAAGGCAGTCGCTTAACCAACTGAGCCACCCAGGTGCCCATGAGTTTTTCTTTAAGGAAAGCCTTATGGTCCTTCATTGATTTTTTTTCATTGAAAATGTCTGTTATGGGGGCACCTGGGTGGCTAAGTCGGTTAAGTGTCTGCCTTTGGCTCAGGTCATGATCTCAGAGTCCTGTGATCGAGCCCCGCATCAGGCTCTCTGCTCAGCGGGGAGTCTGCTGCTCCCTCTCACCCTCCCTCTGTGCTCTCTCTCTCTCTCTCAAAAAAATAAATAAAAATCTTTAAATAAAAAAAAAGAAAATTCTGTTATGTACTACTTTGGGTTCAAACACTATTATGTGAAGTAACAAGTCCCGAGTAACTCTGTTTTTGAATGTACAGTTATAGTGGGAGAAAAGCCAGTAGGGCCTGATGAATTTTCTGTCATGTCTTCAGTGACTGATGCATTTAAAAAAAAATTTAAGAAGAAAAGAAGAAATCTGATGAATGTATTTCATAAGGATAATAGAGAGCAAGGAAGTAAGTAAGGGGAAAACTTATTTAAACTGTGGGAGATGACTTACGCATATAAAGATTTTTTAAAATCTGATTCTCTTGGGCGCCTGGGTGGCTCAGTTGGTTAAGCGACTGCCTTCGGCTCAGGTCATGATCCTGGAGTCCCGGGATCGAGTCCCACATCGGGCTCCCTGCTCGGCGGGGAGTCTGCTTCTCCCTCTGACCCTCCCCCCCTCATGTGCTCTCTCTCTCTCTCTCTCTCATTCTCGCTCTCTCAAATGAATAAATAAAAAATCTTTAAAAAAAAAAATCTGATTCTCTTAAAAATATGTGGCAAAAATACTCATTTTGAAAAAAAAATGTTTCTGTGTTGGTGTTGGTGCAGTACAGGACAGAGAGTGATGGACTATGGAAATAGGAGACTTGGTTTTTGTCCTAGCTCTGTCACTATCTGTATAACCTTATGTTCCTTTGTGGTCCGCATTTTCCTCATGCCTAACATAGTGAATTGGTCTGATTCCAAGGACTCTTCTAGTTCAGACTTAATAATGATAAAGGTTTTTAGATGTTCTTTTTTAACATGGTACAAATTAAAATAGGCCCTTTTAGTCATATATTTGTGTTTTAGGGTTTTTTTTATTCCCCACCTCGAGGAAGCGGATGCACATGTAGGAACTAGAAAGCTGCCACAAACAAGCATTCCTCCTTCATGAACTGCACATGTTTTTTCTACATTTTTGACATGCTTAGTTCTCTCTCTCTACTGTGTATCTCTTTTATTTTACTTATAGCCTCTGTTTACCTGTTGTGCCGGTTTCTTTGTAAATCTACTTTGTCAGTCCCCTAATCCAAACTTCATTGTTTCTTTTTGTGAATTCTTTCCCAACATCCTGGTGTTCTTAGGGGCTCTTTTTTTCCCAAGGCCTCAGGCAAAGGTGCCCATTGCTAGTCTAGTTAGCTGTGGAGGGGGAGGTGGGCTCATGTGTCACAAAACATGATTGGTTGAGGCAGTGGGCAGGTGACTGAAATATCTGGTAAAGCCTAATATATTTTATTTATTTTTTAAAAGATTTATTTATTTATTAGAGAGAGCGTGTGCGCGTGCACGCTCGTGAGCACGAGCACGGGGAGCAGCACAGAGAGAGGGGCTCGATCCCAGGACTCTGGGATCATGACCAAAGCCAAAGGCAGACGCTTAAACTGACTGAGCAACCCAAGTCCCTCAGCCTAATATATTTTGGATTAAACTTTTACTGTGGCATAGTGATGGAGTAGCTTCCCTTTTGTCCTATTCTTAACCCTGAATTACTTTACCCATTTTCTTTTATCTTTGTACTCTTCAGAGCTATTATCTTCTCTCTTTTCTCCCAAATATGCTGTCTAAAAATGATCTGTTACCTTGAGTCATGTTTCTGTATTTTAGCTGGAATTTTAGTGTAGCTTCTCTCAAAGCAGTTCACATTTAGAATTTTAGACCTAATTAGGAGTGGATGGCTGTGTTTTCTGTTAATTTTTTCCCCTAGATATTAGCCCTGGGCAATATTGTGTAGAAAAAGTAGTGGCTCAGATGGTTAAGCGTCTGCCTTTGCCTCGGGTCATGATCCCGGAGTCCTGGGATCGAGTCCCGCGTTGGGTTCCCTGCTCCTTGGGAGCCTGCTTCTCCCTCTGCCTCTCTCTCTCTCTCTCTCTCTCTCTCTCTCTCTCATAAATAAAAACTTTAAAAAAAAAAAAAAAGAAAAAGTATTTTAAGAATGGGCCTTTCCCCCTGAAATTACATTCCGAGGTCAAGTCTGTGGAGGACTTCTTTCTGAGTCTTTTTTTGGAGAGAACTGGCTGAACCTCTGTTCTCTGGTGAACATACTGTGTCTTTTTGTAAAGTATATCTGCTTCTCTAACTGTAAATTACTTGGGACACTAATAGGCACTGATTCTTGTAGCACCTTTGGCTGAGCGAGAGCTTCTCTCCTTGCTAGTTGCTGCTATTGCTATTAACTAGTTAGTTGATAGTTACTTTAGCTATGGTCATAAACAAGTGCAAAAAGCAGAGCATTGAATAAATGCAAAAATGGGATTTGAAGGGGAGATTTTTTTTAGGTACGATTATCATCTATTATTGTTTTTAATGTTGCTATTGCAGTGTTTCCATAAAAAATACAAACAAGTATTTCAAGACAGGCAGTGTGAAATGAAGTGTTTTTAAAATTTTTGACTGCAACCCATAGCAAGAGATCTGTTTATGTCAAGACTCCATAGATACACAAGTGTGTGAGTGCATGCATGTGTCTGTGTAAGAAAAAAAATATAGATATATAACTGAAAGAAAACTGACATAAAATCTGTAGTGTGTACAGTCTACTTGGATAGTTTCTATTTTATCTTGTTTTTTTTAAAAAGTGCTATTTGCAAACTGTTAAGTTGATTTTTGTTCCTTGCTTTTGAAAAACACGAGAATCCTGGGTGCCTGGGTGGCTCAGTTGGTTAAGTGACTGCCTTCGGCTCAGGTCATGATCCTGGAGTCCCGGGATTGAGTCCCGCGTCGGGCTCCCTGCTCAGTGGGAAGTCTGCTTCTCCCTCTGACCCTCTCCCCTCTCATGCTGTTTCTCTCTTTCTCTCTCAAATAAATAAATAAATAAAATCTTTAAAAAAAAAAGAAAAACACGAGAATCCTGTGCTGAGAGTTTGGATGCCTAATTTCCCCCATTTGTTTGCTGGTGGGTAGTCATTAATCCTCTGTGCTTCACTTTTCTTTTCTTTAAAATGAGGGTGATCCTCTGTCTTGACTGTAGTAATAATGTTGAACTAATATATTTGTCTTTAGGTCCCTGGCTAGGGAGAAACCACTAAATATCTTGCTTAAATATCTAGTTGTTTGTTTGCCTGTTTGCTATTTGGTAAGTGGCATAAAAGAACTTTGAACAGATCTTCGGAGATTATTGGGATGGAGACGTTAAGGCCTTTAATAAATATGAAAACCAAGAAAAGAGTTTCCCCCTTTTTTCCTTTTCTACCTTTTTGTCCTTTGACAAGAAATCTTTTAGAGTTTGAAAATTTCTATTTAAAATGCTTAGTAACTGGGCATCTGGGTGGCTCATTCCGTTAAGCATCTGACCCTTGATATCAGTTCAGGTCTTGATCCCAGGGTCGTGAGTTCAAGCATTGGGGTACATGCTGGGCGTGGAGCCTACTTAAAAAAAATTGCTTTATAACCATTTTAAGTTAACACACTGGCAGATTGCTACCTAGATTTTATTCCATATCCCATCTTACTGCACTGCCCCCTTCATATTAGAAAATGGTAATAGGAATATATTTATATATTTTTCTGTGCAAAAACACTATGTCAGACTATTACTATTCCTGTATGTTACCGAACAGTGGAACTGCCATTCTTCTAAGCAAAGGGAACACAAAACTTTCTTTGCTTGTGAGTTTCTTTCTGTTCACTTCGGACCATTTCTCCAAACCAGGCCATTCCATGCTGGGGATTGGGAATCTCTCCCATTCTCATTTGTTTGTACCGAGG